GGGGGGGGGTCTCTCCTTCCCCCGCACAAGCCCTGCGAGCACTGGGGGGTTGTCGGTTTCTCCCCAAGAGTTTTTTTATAGCGACAAATCGCCCGGGCGCTGCCAGATCTCTGCAGCCATCCAAAATGTTCGATAAACTTTGCAAAACTTTGCTTTTTTCTTTTATTTTTTCTTTCTGTTTTTCTTTTTTAACTACCTCCCCGGCCGAGCTCCTGGCCAGGGGCAGTCACAGATTCCTGCCCCGCTCCGAGACCCAGAACAGCAGCAAGAAACCAAAAGCCCTGGATTTTCGATCGCTTTGCAACCCCGAGCCGATGAATGCCGCTGCCCCTTCCCCTTTGCAGCACATCTGCACAGGAGAGCAGGCGTGTTTGTTTATATGCCTCTCCGTGGCAGAAAGGGCAAGCGGGTGTTTAATGTATATATGCAGAGAGGGAGTCCGGTGAGCAGCCCACATGGGGCTCTTGACCTTGGGAGACTCCCGCTCCGTGTCCCTGAACGCTCCCGCGTGTCAGTTTCACTTGTTTCCAGTCCCGAGCGATCAGGAGCCCTGAACAGGTGTTTCCCTGATTTCCAAGCCGCCCAGCAAACCTCTCCACTTTTATTTCGGCGGCATCAAACCCGATTTCCCGCTGTCCCGAGCTGCCCGGCAGTCGCAGCCCGACCCTGCCCAAAATTGCTCGCCCTCCCCAAGAGGTCCCCGCCGGACCCACTGCAAATCCGTTTCAGTTCGGGTTGTCACGTCTGCCCGCGCTGCACTAGCCCTCGGCTTGGGAGCTCGCAGCCTCCTGACCGCGGCGCTCGTTGCGGGGAGGGGGTGCGGGCTTGTTTTCCGTACAATCCCAACCAAGATTGTTTGTTTTCCGCTGCAGAAAAGGGTTGAGCGCGAAATCTATTTTCATACATGGGTTTGGGTTTATTTGGGGGAAGGGGGGACAGAAGAAAGCATCCCCGAGATCTCAGCGCCCTCCACATAACAGGAAATTTTCCCTTCCTCCAATGATAATTGCACCAGCCCCGCAGATCTTTGGAGGAAAGTTGGAATTCTTCATCGAGGTATTTGTTGTGCTATTGTCTTTGTGCAGTGAACTTTACGTGGTGCTATTCAAGCCCAACCTAGATTCTCCTAGCTCCCCGTAAGATTAATTTAATCATTGTAATGTAATCATTAATACTGTTGACCCGACGCTTGGTTCAGGTTTGCTGTTAAGAAATGAAAGCCTCTTGCTGGGTGACCAAGCGCTGGGCAGGGGTTTCCACTCCGCGTTGAAGTGAAACAGCCCTCTATTTCGACTCACAACTCCGGCTTGCAGCCGGGAGCTCAATTAGCCAAAATGGAAACAATTTTCATTCATTGCAATAACTCACTGTTCTGCAGATCACTTTCAAAATATACACTTTATTATTATATGCTGACCTCAGTGCCGTGGAGTGGCAAGGCTAGAAAGAGGCAGGGGGATCTCTCTAGCCCCCTTGGGCTGTAATTATTAGAAATTAATTGGGTTCAGGACCCCGGGTAGCCCGGGTAAATTAATAGCTTGTCTAGTTGTTTCAATCCGAATTCTCAGTCCACGGGAGAGAAGGGGAGGGAGACTTCTCCAACGTGAAATCCAGACCCCAGAGACACCGAGTTGACTTGCAAGATCCGCGTCTCTTGAGCACTGGTGCCCAGAATAAAATTGAAAGAAGGGGGAGGACGGCACTGGCCGGCTGTGTAAAGGGGACCTGGTGAATGTGTTTGCCTCCGATTTTTTCCTCTGTGTTATTTTCGGGGGGCTACGGAGGGGTTAAAATAAAAAATAAAGATCCTGTATACTCGGAGCTGTCGTGCTGGAGTAAAAGTGAAAAGGGAGCCTAAGGCAAAAGGAAATTACTGCAAGCCCGCGTGACCTTTCAGAGAGGTAATCAATCAAGTGATCAACAGGGATATTTATCATTGCTAGATGGGGCTACTTTACAAACGCACAGAAAAGGGGGGAAAGAAAGAAAGACGGGCACAAAAGTTTGGAGCAAGCCGATGAGCCTAAAGACGAGTGCGGAGGCTTTAATCAATGGGAAGAGGGCACTTGTCCCTCTCCTGTCTGGCATCCCCAGAAAGAAAGGAAGGAAGAAAGTTTCCCAGCAGAAAATGCCTCCTGCCCTGGGAGCTCCCAGCCAAGCTGCCCGCTTGGCTTTTCCACACAGGAGGAGGAGAGATGCGATTTAAAAAACAAAAAATTCCGACTACTACAAGGGGATGGAGGCTCATCCCTGGGCTCCGTGTTAAAAAACATTTTTTTTTCAAAGTGCCTGGATTTGTTGCTCGTTCCCGCGGGTCTGGCGAACCCGATCCCGCCTGCTTCGAGCCCCCTGAAAGGTTCATTTGAAGGGCCGAGCCAAGCTGCAACAACTACAAATAAAAATAAAAAGCCGTGCCCCTTATTATCCGAGACCAGCGATCTGGCTCCATCCAGCTCGCTCTCCGTGGCAGAAAGCATCGCCCACCACCGGGCAATGAAAAGCAACAATAAAAGCACATGCATTTTCTGCACCGTTTCCTTCTCCCTTGTAAAACAAGCCGTCCTGCAAGCACCAGGCATGTCCTTTTTCTCCCTAAAACTTACCGGATTCCTTAGCAAACCCATAGGGGGGCGGGGGCTCACTTATTTATTTGACATTGTGTCAGACACACACACGCGCGCGTCGCTTGTTTTTTTGGTTGCTTTTTTTTTTTTAACTTGATATTTATTTCTCTCTCTTTTTTTCAATAACTTTAAATCAGGGGCAGCGATGTCGGAGGCCTTTGTGCGACGGAGTCACTATTCTCGGACCGGCCTGGCGAGAGAAGTGGGAAGCCCCCGGGGGCCGGGAGCAGCGCGGCCGTGGCGGCGGGCGCGGTGCAGGCGGCGGGTCCGGGCTCC